TTCTCATTAGGCCTTGAATTTTTTAAGGCGGGGCATGATGATTGTAGTCTACCATAAGCTGACAGATAAGTTCTACTTAAGTCATTTCATTATGTGATGCATCCGGCAGTAATCCGCTGTAGGTGTGGCTAGAGAAATTGTGCTCAGCTTTACAAAAGGTCTGGTTATTCCCAATAAATTTATAATTTAACATTGCTCATAATTGTGTTTTCACATAGGACCATCTTTTGAAAACTGCTTTAAATATTTACTCAGGTTCTCTTTGCTCTCTTTTTCTCTATTAAAATCAGTTTGATGATCTGAAGCACAAAAACAAAACAGCATAGAAATGTCAGAAAGGTCTAATTGGTTGACATAGGTCATCACCAACTTGAAGTTTCTGCCTCGTCTTTTGTAAGATACGTAGCTCTCCATTTACAAGAAAAATTTGCAAAGTTACAATCCAAGAACAACAGATGAACTGCCTAATCCGAACACAGGAAGCTAACCTGTCTGTGACCCCGGCCTCACTTCCTCCACCATTGAACATTTTTGATAATGCCTGCAGGTCAGTTTGGCAAGACGAAGATAAAGGGAAAGTATATGACCGACAGAGACAAAACCTAAAGCTGCATAACAGCACTAGGACAATGCGGAGCTTTAAAGGGACTGCTCCGTAGGTTGCTTAATCCTGTCCTCTCTCGTTGTGTCTCAGATTCATTGCATGACCTTTTGAGGTTGCCTCATTAAAGCCTCCCCGTGTCTCTGTGTCTGCGTGTGTCCCCTGGCAGAGTGAGACGGAGCTTTGGTTTCCCCGGAGAGTTACATCCGCAGTGACAAGATGACTCTGGCAGGTAAATGCAGACGCAGCAGAAACTCATTTCACCTCATCGCTCCCTCACACATTCGTCCTGCCTATCGGAGGTACACCGGTCAGTGGCAGTGACTAATCGCTGTCGCCGCAACGCAGGACTGCATCATCACTTCTTTAAATGCTTGCTCATGATCCAGTTTAAGTAAACCGGTCTTTGTGTGTATCTGTGTCCTCAGCCTATAAAGAGAAGGTCAAAGAGCTCCCCCTGGTGTCTCTGTTCTGCTCCTGCCTGAACCCACAGACTGCAGAGAACTCCCCTTACAAAGCAGAAGGTAAAAACCGTTTATTCTATGGTAATCTTAAAAAAAGTAAATCCAGGAAAAATGTACTTCTTACTTAGCACTACGATGATCATATCTTGCTACAAATGTCACTATTTGATCAATTATTCTAACACAATGTCATCAAACGGCAAAAGATGCGGTGGACCTGGGCTGGTGCGTCATGAAAGACGTGGAGGTGATCGAGCTGAACAAGCGGACATCGGGCCAGGCCTTTGAGGTCATCCTCAAGCCGCCATCCTTTGATGGCCTGCCAGAACTCAACACCTCCATGCCGCAGCGCCGCGACCCTTCCCTGGAGGAAATTCAAAAGAAGCTGGAGGCAGCTGAGGAGAGACGAAAGGTGAGGGGCAGAAAGAGAATGGCGTCATGGCCGCCTCTGACCGATCTGGTCCAGCACTCCTTAGGGTTTGAGGTGCAGGCTATGACCAGTTCATGTCTAACCTGCAGGCAGCAGAGTGTAGTTTTCCATTCCACTTGGCCTTTTAAATCTTATGGCTCATGTGGCCATAACATTTAAAAAGGGGAGAAAAAGAATTTTAAATTGATAGTAAAAATCTATTTAAATGTTAATGAAGTCTCTAATTCTCAACAACTAAAATTTGCCACTAGGCCTGCAGCTACAACTAATTTTACTGGACAATATATAGTTCCAGAAATTATTGCGATAAACAATACTGTTGTTTTGAAACAATCTTCATGTGATATGGCACATGAAGATTGTGCCATATGTAGCGATGTAAGATCGCTCTCAAAGCGATCTTACATCGCTTTGAGAGCGATGTAAGATCGCTCTCAAAGACTAATAAACTGTAATTTTGTAATGAACACTCCCCTTGTGGGGTGTTCGTGGAAGACATTTCAAATGTCCAAAATAAAACACACACAAAAAAGTATCCAGTAGAATAAATACAGATAAATATAACTTCCAGACAAGATTCAAATAATTTGACAAAAATGCAAGAAAACTGATTCAGGAAAATTACCATCTGGTTACCACCTTCTTATTAGTTAAACATTTAAAGGGTCCATTCATGGTTTTTAAAGATTCTAGACTCAAGATACCTTGGGTGGGGTGAAAAGAAAGAGGGAAATAGAACTACAAAGACAACCATGCAATGATACAAACACAATGGAAGAGACATTTTTGTCCATCGACAGAATGATTCGGTTTGTAGAAGCAACAAGTATAATGGGAAATTACTGTGAAGACTTCTGTCTCCCTCTAGTGCCAGGAAGCTGAGCTACTGAAGCACTTGGCAGAGAAGAGGGAACACGAGCGTGAGGTGATCCAGAAGGCCTTTGAGGAGAACAACAACTTCATCAAGAACGCCAAGGAGAAGCTGGAGCAGAAGATGGAGGCCAACAAGGAAAACAGGGAGGCCCTGTTGGCGGCCATGCTTGAGAGGCTGCAGGAGAAGGTAGGATCCAGCAGGCCACGGTCTGACCAAATGTATGTACTTCCAAGCAGAGACGAATCCCTAAATGGAAATCTGTATTTCATTTCTGTCTACATTTTTTCCCCATGAAACAAAGAATCGGATCCGAAGAAATGTGAAGCATTCTTGATCAAAACAAGAAGGAAACGAGATCACAGGAGGGTCTGATGTTTTTCCACCAAGAGTTTTGAATTTTTTTGGAAAGCCTGCAGCCTGTTGTGGATTTCTACACGCTCTTTGAAGCTTCATCCAGTCATTTGGCTTCACACATTTTCTGCTTGTTGTTCTAACGTGGTTGATGCTCTGACTAAACTGAGTTTCCATTGAAAAAGCAATATTTGCCAAATTCATGTTGCTTTTCAGCACAAGGTTCAAATTGACTTTAGTTTTGCCTGAACACTAATTCTGAAAGAAGCTTTTCTTAAAAATAAATAAATAAATAAATAAATAAATCTGTCTAGCTTCTGGATTTAATTCTGGACTTCCAGTGTATCACACGGCAAATGTTTGACTTAAAAAAAAAAGTTCTCACTCTTTCAGTCTGCTTTCTAAATTATACATGTATTTATGAGAAAAAGATGAACATTAAGGAAATGCCTGAGTTTACGTCAGTAACTTGATTACCACTTGGTAATCAAAACAAACCTCTCAACTCCCACAAGCATGTGGTTTATTTAGAGCAGTGGGAAAGTATTGAGTTGCTCTAAATGACTAAGCGGTGATCACAGATCAACGCTGTTACTCAAAATCTGAACTTTTCCATTTTTATATCTTTAGCCATGTGGCGTCTGACAAGCGGCATTTAAAATGAATAATAACTCCTACACTGCATTTAATCATGTTTAATTTTAAATACAGTTACTTTGTGCTGTTCAGTGATACAAATCACATTTCTTTATGGGACTGGTGTCCTAAAGAAGCATATTATAAATGGGTAAGAGTGAGGCTTAGATTTTTCTGTATGAGCAGTGCCGTATTAGATTTGAGAGGGGCAAAATACTATTGCAAGACACACTGAATCAGAAATGAATGCTGATGTCTTAAAATGTAAATGCAACCCTAGAGCAGACTTGCCATTACTTTTAAAAATTGTTCAGAGGCGTGGTGGATCTATAATCATCAATGTTGGATGAGGGGGAAAAAAAAGTGTAGTTTTTTTTGTTCCTCAGGTGAATTTAATGTCCGTTTCTATCCTCACAACTGTTACCGTTGAAGGAAGCTGTGCTTTCACTGTGATCCAACTCATTACTGCAAATGATTTAATGAATGGTAATGACTTGTTTTTTCCCTCATTTGGTGTCTGTCTTTGTCCGACAGGATAAGCACGCAGAGGAAGTCAGGAAGAACAAGGAGATGAAGGAGGAGGCCTGCCGATAGATCTGACAAAGTCGAGAAGAGAGACACGAAAGGGAACAAAAGCAGCGCAAAAAAAGAGAAAAAAAGGACTTAACGGTGACTTCAATGAGCTTTTAAGGAAGGCTTTTAAATTTGATGTGTGCTGTAAGACTTCTTATGCTGTACAAAGTTTAGCCAATGCTTGATGTAGATTTCTCTCATTCTTTCTCTAAGGAAAACTGGATGGGGGTAGGCTGGGTGGGTGGTTAGGTGACGACATTAACACAGACAAGTATTCAACAGCTATGATTTCTTCTTTGTTGCAGAATGAAGCAAAATCTAATTGCAGCTCTTTCTTCTTCGTAGTTTGTCAGTAAAGAGAAAATTAAACTCGCCTGAGTTTATTTTCTCTCATTACCGTATGTTGGTTTTGCAGCAATACAAACAGAAAGATGAATTCTCTCCGAGACTACAACTCTGAAACACGGAGCTGTAATTTGAATTGTTAGCTCTGTAAACATGAGGAGTGCATTGACGTTCTACAAACTGGCCTTGGAAAAACAAAACAAAACAAAACAAAAAGAAAATCCCTGGAGCCTTGCTCCAACACAACAAATAGAAAACCAAAAGCTGTTTATGGTTAAGACTCACCAAAAAGTATGAAATTTCTTTTTTCTCTTCCAATGTTGTTTGTGAAATAGGGCGTGGAAAAAAAAGCTTAATAAGTAAAGAGTTCATCTGCCATTACCAGGCTCTGTGAAATGTTTGTGTAGTGTAGTATCACATTCATTTAAGTCTCTTCAACTTAGAGCACTGATTGCACTCTTTTTTTCATTAAGCACAACTCAAAAGCACACATGCATACCAGAGTTCTCATATACAGTGAAGCTGAAAAGACAAAGGAAAAGGCAAAGCAGTGATTAATGTCAGTTCACAATTTGCTACGATTCCACGGGTTAAACGGCAAAGTCAGTCTACTTGTCTCTGTGCTCTTATTGTTTCTTTTTCATTTTGAAGGTGAACTGAAACCAAAATAGAATATGCAGGAGATTGAAATGTGCCCGAACAACTGAGTCATACTGACTTTATCCTGGCTTGACTTAAAGCGTCTAAATGTTTGTACTGTAACTGGGGGAGGAAATGGGGTGGCTTTGGACTTGCTGTAACCTTGTGCTGATGTGTATCTGGAAGGAGGGTCTGATTGTATTCATTTGGCATGATTAGTAAAGAAAGAAAAACGTACATAAATTCATAGTTTGGTCTCTTTATTTTCTGGATGATTAGCTCCAATCTATCAGAACTGAAGCCCAAAATATAAATTTTCATGGATTATGAAAAATTATATTTTGGATTGTATTCATTTGGCATGGTTGGTAAAGAAAGAAAAAGTTACATAAATTCATAGTTTGGTCTCTTTATTTCCTGGATGATTAGCTCCAATCTATCAGAACTGAAGTCCAAAATATAATTTTTCATGGATTTTTACAAGAAACATGAACTTACATCAAACATGAGGAGAATTTACAATCCATCATCAATTTGTGGATTTCCTTAAATTAAGTATATGTGGCAAAATTGTCCTTTCACACAGGCAACAATTTTCAGCAAGGATTAAAATGTACCTGTACTGTGGTTTAAAACAACATATATGTTTTAAACCCTATGTATAACTGCAAAGACATGTCTAACAAATATGAATCTGTTGATGCTGGAAACAAAATTATAACAAACAGAATTAAAAAATACAGCAAAATAAACATTCATAAAATAATAACCATATTTATACTACAATTTGGCAGAAGAGCACAATGTCATACCATCCCAAAAGAGTACAATATAGAACATACAGCAATAAAAACATATTCCTACGGTTAGTCATAAGGAAAAAAGGCAATTACTTGTTTTATTTTTTACTGGTCATTTATTGCGCTCTATCAGGGAATATAAAATGTATTTTAAACATTTTTAAACCTCAAATATTGCCATAATGTCATAGTGGTTCTAAAATCTGTCTTTGGCTGTTGAAAATTAGTCAAGTTCTATACAAGCTGAATTCTAGGGTATTAGCAAAAGGTAAAAACATCAACTAAACAACAAGAAAAATCTCCCCTGAAAAAGTTGTATCATGTTCCACAACATTCCACATTCACGACAACTGGCCTTGGGACATGTGAACTTGAAAACATGTAAACATATCCAGTCAGAGAAAAATAAAGTAATAAAGGAAATGAAAGGTGATAAAATATAGAATCTTCAAAAAGCATATCTTTTTCACTGCAATCACATCTGTTGTGAGGAGGATGTCTATGTAAACTACTATCAATTCCAAACCTGATACATGAAATTTCTTCATAAAACCCTGCTTGAACAAATTTAAATAATCACTTAAAACTCATTTTGTTTACAATTTGCTTCTCAATGATGTACAAAGATGCACAGCTGTAAATGTATAGCAATCTGGCATTTCCCTTCTACAGATCTAATACTGTGCAACACATAATTAATGAAGCAAAGCTGCTAAATATTCTTTCAACATATTGGAAACTTGAGGAACGAGCATCACATACTTAAGATTGTACAGATATTTGTCAGAACAAAGGAGTTTACACATCTTATTTATGTTATTCTCAAGTCATAAAAAATGACCTAATCTCTTGCAACACTGTGTAGAGGCTTTGTCTGCACTAAAGAGGATTCCCTCACCTCAGCATGCCAAATGTTTTAACTGGTTCCAACAGCAGGGATCTGTTATTAGGTTATTAGCTAAATTAATTCAGCTAATAATAGTTTTGAACATGTGGGGGCACTCAGACTGTGAATAGAGCTGTTAAATTCAGATTAGGTGTTTGTTAAAAATGTAAAAAGACAAAAAATAAAAATAAAAATACTGACAGCAATGTCATGGCAAAAGAAACAGTGTATCTGCCCTGACAGAGTAGTACCCTGTAAAATTTAAACCCTTTGTTCCAATAAAAACAGGAGAGCATCATAAGTGGCACAGATGAAAAAGAACTTCTGCAATTTTTTGCTTCATGTCTTAATGATGAAATTATAGATTAATCGACATACATGGCAGGATAAGCAACACAATGAAAGCAGCTAGCAGTTAGGTTTTAAAAACACATTTTCTTGGCTGCTTTTAGGCACCAAAGATACACTGGCAAATGTATTGAATAAAGGTGATTTGCTTACAATACAATAAATAAATGATTCAGCTAATGATTCAGCTAATTCAGTTCTCTCAGCCTAAAGTGTTATGCAGTAAGGACTACCTGACGAGATATTAAGGACACCAGTTATGAAGACAAGTAATAAGTCACAGTTATTAAAAATACTTTTTACAGTCAACTATGCAGTTGAAACCAGATATTCACATGCATTTTTCCCTTACTGTTTGATATTAAAACTTAGATAAGCTGACTTGTAATTGGAAAAGGTAAAAATGAAAAAAAAAAAACTTTTTGTTTTAGGGTTGCTAGGATCATCCCAGAAGAATGAAAATTAGACTTTTTTGGAGATTTTTTTGTTTTACTTTCTTTGACGTCTTTGATTTACAGTCATTAATGTCTTTAAATTATTTTACAGAGCCTTCAAAAGGTTAACTTAAATCTTATGTATTTTAAGGCAACATGTCCAACACACTGCTTCCCTGTGTGACATCATGGACATGATTAAAAAAATTGATCAACATATCTCAAAAAACAGCTGTGAAAATCCATCAGTCTGGTTCTTCCTTCAGTACAATTTCTGCTCAAATAATTATATTTACACATAAAGTGTGTGAATCCAAAAATCATGTCATGTTCTTGTGGCATTTAGCAAATAGAAAAAAATCTATGTAGTTCAAACTGACTATAAAATAAAAGAGTTTAGTCTAATTGACTAAATAGTAATTTTTTATGCAACATATGTAAATATCTATTGTCAACTGTACAATTTTTAAAATGCATAGACATTGACATGAATGATATGTGTAACCAGAGCTTTTGTTGGATGTCTTGTTATTCTTGTGGTATCACAGTGGGTCTCACACAGGTACAGCCAACTGTGATCTCCTCAGTCCCCAGCATGAAGATGTACTTATTCTGCTTCTTCCCTTTATTGTTGTTCTTTTTCTTTAGGGTTCTGCAGGGGGATATAAAACAATGCTGGTTAGTTTGATCATTCTGAACATGGGCT